CTCTGGGCAGCTGCTCTGAGGTAGCCTCCACTAAGGCCCTGCCCATTTGGCAAACCCTTGCCTGCCCTTTCTAGGATTTACCAGGTCCTAGCCTAGAATCCTACATCTCCACAACCAAGTGACTGATGACCCTGCCTCCCGGTGGCCACAGCACTAGCAGTAGCATCTGCTAGTGGTCACATCGGGTAGAAATCAGATGGTCCTGGGAAGAAGCCAGGATTAGAGCCAGAGTGAAGGTAGACAGGAGCCCTCCAGAAGCAGGAACTTGCTGACTACCCTGCTATTTAAATAGAACAGTAATAAGGCTGTCTCTTGGGCTTCCCAAAGAGTACGGATCATGAAAAACAGAACAGCCACATGGTCCAGGAAACACATAGGTAGGGACATCCATGCTTCATGGCAGGAAAAACATAAATGATCCCATAAATAAATTATGCTGGCAATAGTCTTTTTTGTTGGTTTGTTTTTCTTTGTTTTTGTTTTTCAAGATAGGGGCTCTCTGTGTAGCTGTCCTAGAAGTTCCTCTGTAGACCAGGCTAGTCTCAAACTCACAGAGATCTGCCTACCTCTGCCTCCTGAGTGCTGGGATTACAGGCATGCACCACCATAGCCAGGCTCAGCTGGCAATAGTTGCTTTGTTTTTGTTTTTGTTTTTGTTTTTGTGAGACAGGGTTTCTCTGTGGCTTTGGAGGCTGTCCTGGAACTAGCTCTTGTGGACCAGGCTGGTCTCTAACTCACAGAGATCCACCTGCCTCTGCTCCCAAGTGCTGGAATTAAAGGCGGGCGTCACCACCACCCAGCTCTAGCAATAGCCATTAAAAGAGACTGCAGAATAGGCATGGTGCCTATATTCTCATCACCTGGGAAGCTAAAGAAGGAAACTTACCAATTTGTCGACAGCCTGGGCTATATAGCAAAATCAAAAAAGAAAAAAAAAATTCTGGACAGGGTTTCCTGGCTGTCCTGGAACTTACTTTGTAGACCAGGCTAGCCTCAAACTCACAGAGTCTGCCTTCAAGTGCTGAGATTAACGGTGTGCACTACCGCTACCCCACAAAACACAAAATCACTTTTAAAAAAGTAATTGCAGGCCAAATAGTTTAGCCATCCATGGGCACCATCACAGCTACACAGCATGTTTACATAGGCAAAAGTGCCTCCCAAATGAGCACAGTGATACAGGCCATGGAAGAACTCTGACCCTAAAAGATGTCCACCAAAATCAATTCATAATACGGAAAATTAGTTACGGAATAAACATGATGACAAAAATAGAATTATAGTCAGACAGTAATGGTGCATGCCTGTAATCCCAGCACTTGGGAGGCAGAGGCAAGTAGATCTCTGAGTTTGAGGTCAGTCCGGTCTATAGATATAGGACCACCAAGGCTACACAGAGAATCCCTGTCTTGAAAAAAAAAAAAAAGTTAAAATTCTAAAGATGGGCAAAAACAGGCAGATCTCTGTGAGTTCAAGGCCAGCCTGGTCTACATAGTGAGTGGTCTACATAGTGAGTGCCAAGATATCTAGAGCTACATAGAGAGAACCTGCCTCAAAAGAAAAAAAAAAAAAAAGCTAACTTCCATAAACATTTAGAAGTGAAGAATATGTTTATTAGTTTGATGCTAGTGATTATTTCATAGGTTTTACACACACACTAAAACCTGCTATCTTAAAAAAACTGGACCTGTAGGGCAGTGTAACTCACACCTTTAATCCCAGCACTCTGGAGGCAGAGGCAGTCTGTGAGTTCCAAGTTAGCTAGTTTCAGGATAGCCAGGGCTACGGAGAGAAATGCTGTCTCAAAATAAATAAATAAATAAATAAACAAACAAATAATTTTTAAAAAGGAAGGAAGGAAGGAAGGAAGGAAGGAAGGAAGGAAGGAAGGAAGAAGCTGGGGTTTTCCAAGGAGAGAGCAAGGGGAAACTTGGATGTGGATATGATCAACATTGTATACAGGCATGCTATTAGTCCCAGCACGTGGCAGACAGATCTGAATTTGAGGCCTGCCTGAGTTCAATCACCACAAGTTGTCCTCTGGCTTCCAAAAGTGAGCTGTGTGGCAAGCACAAGCTCCCAAACATACACACACAGACACACACACACACACAGACACACACACACACACAGACACACACACACACACAGACACACACACACACACAGACACACACACACACACAGACACACACACACAGGCCTGGCGGCACTATAATCTGAATACTTAGGTGGTGGAGGCAGGAACCCCTGCCTGCTCCAAGCTCCAGGGCACTTGGTCTAAATTGAGAATTCTAGGCCAACCTGTCTTACACAGGGCACCCAGTCTCGAAAACAAAAACAAAAGCAACTTTCATCTTGAACATTTTTTAAAAAGCATATAGTTTACTTTGTTTCAATTATTACAATAAGAAAACAGTGTTTCCTCTCCTTTTATAGATCAGTCTTTAACTTGGGTCCTCCTGCCTTTCAGCCGCCCAAGTGTCGGGGTTACATTAATGAGCCACCACCCTTCAGAACATTTTTCCCATAGCGCTCAGGTTTTAAGTTTGATATTCTGTAGCATCTGAACTACCTACATTGTATGATCAAGAAACCAGAAAGCCATCACATTGAAATGGTCACATCTGACTAACAACATAACTGGGGGGGCTTCTGTTTGTTTTGAAGTTTCTGCTACTTGTAACTTTTATGCAGATTAAACATAAATGTATCCAACCGAGGTTTCTATGTTAAATTCAGGCAGAGGCTACAAGTGGCCAGGGCAGAGTAGAGGAACAGAGAAATACACATACGGCCAGATTCTGAGCATGAGGGAGGTTGGATCCTCAGAAGGAAGGAACTAGCTCTGTCTGGAGAGCAGCATTGTCCAGAGGGCAGACTCGAACAGGACTCAGCAGGGAACAAAGTGAGAACAGAACACAAGCCAGGTGACCTTCCTCATAACTGCAGTTTCCAGTCTTGGATCAGGCCTAGCAGAGAGGACTACTACACACCCAACCATACCTGCTGGTGGCTGCAGGGGGCCCATGGTCAGGAGAGGAAAAGATGCGGTACAGGTAGTCATTCAGTAGTTTCTCCTGCACAATGCCTGGGTCACAGATCAAAAGAGAGGAAAGAGGCAGGTGGTCAGAGCAGCTCATGGTCCGTACTGTTCCCACAGACAGCTAGTCTAGACTGGCCAGCCGCAAGAGTCAGGAGAGCAACCACACTGGGTGTAAGTCTCCATGGGTGCTGGTATAGATCTAGTCGCAGGAACAAGGGGTACTGAAAGGCCCAAGTTTCGATAGACCTGGGCCCTTGCTGCATCTGTCCCTTCCTTCTCCTTCCCCCACTACAAAAAGCATCCTCCCCACCTTGCCAGCCCTTACCTGTGACTCTGGACTTCTCAGTATCTGAGGTCAGCTTATAGCTCTTTCGGGAAAAAGACATGCCGGCCCCCTTGGATGCCATCTTTCATCACTCATGGGCAGCCAGTGGTCCTGGAGGCTGAGCCAGATGCAGTGTGTCTACTCCAGGCTAGTCAAATGTCACACAGACGTCCTGCAATGGAGGAGGGCTTGGGAGCAGGTGAGACTGAACCATACACATTCACACACATACTAACCTAAGACAAGGGTAAGCAAAGGCTCCCAGCTTTCCACAAAGGAAGTTAGATAGGCTGGTGCCGAGGATGCTATGTCCCATACTGTCTCAGTGCCCTATGCAGGACCTAGCAGAGACCAGGGGCAAAGTATGTTTGTTGAACCATAACTAAATGCCTTGGCTCTGGGGAAATCAGATCAACATGTCCAAAGAGAGGTGGCCTAGAGTAAAAACTCCTACATCCACCTTAGTCATGGAGTCCAGCTCATATTTAGAAGACAAGATCCTATACCATATTCCCTCAAGTACTGGCCAGTCTGGCCACCTGCAGCCACTTACTCCCCAAGAGCATAGGTGAGATGTCTTATTCAGCCCAAGTTTCTTTTCTTTTGTTATCTACAGTCTCATTAGCTTTCTTGTACACACACACACACACACACACACACACACACACACACACACACACACACAGAGTAAAATCACCACCCTAGCCAAGATCACTCCATTGGTCTTCCTGCCATTGTCTATGCCTTATGTAGCTCAGCTGCTCCAGAAACTACACCAAGTCCCTGGTGCCCGCCTCACTATAGAGGTGTGCCGCACAACATTGTGGTCAGGAGACAAGAGTGGTTAAGTTTACAAAGTTAAAAACTGATATTTTTCAGTTTCTAGAGTTCAGCGACCACACGTGTCTGTACAAAACTGTAAGGCACAGGTGTGCCGTCACTACCGGCCCAGAAAGTTGTACTAGCGCCTGTCCAGAGCTCCGCCTGAGCCAGCATTTCTTTTCTGCAGCCCACTCTTACCGCACCCCAAGCAGGCCCTCGGCTCCCGCCACAAACCCTTGCCTGCCTGCATCGCGCCAGGCTCGGGGAAGTGATTCTGCTGCTGGGCCTCCCTCCGGAGACCTCGATGGACATCCAAAACCGGCCCCTTATATCGGCACAGCTGCAGGACGCACTGGACGCAGTTACTAAGAACTGGAAGCCAGCCTTCCCGACGCCCATTCTGGGTGTCAGGTGTAGAGGATTTAGAGGCGGAACCTGCGCCGGCCCCGAGGCTCCCTTGCCACTCCATTACGCCAGCCCGCCCAAGATAGCCGTGCTCGGAACCGAACCCACTAGGTCTGAGTGGCCAAGGACGCCAAGGGCAGCGCATGCTCCCCCAGGTCGCCCCCGCCTGACCCAAGCTCCGCAGGACCTGTCAGGCCAGTTCCCGCCGGGAGTCCTACACCACAGGCCGCGGTCCCCCCAGTGGCAAGCGCTGTCGCACTGGATCGGCCCGCGGCCTCGAGGGGAGGCACCGGACCCTCCCGGCTCACAGCCAGGCGGCCTCTCACTCACCCCCAGCCTCAGCCTCCGCGACCGGCTCACAACATCCGCCCAGCTTTTCGGCTACGGCACCCGTCCAGGGCCAAACCGCGTGCCCGCTCGCGCGCCGCGCCTCCAGCCGCGCACGCGCATATACAGAGACCTCAACAGGCCCTTGCTGGCAGAAAACCCTCCCCCGACTCCCACCGAGGTATTCGCCTGTGTTTCGCCTGACGGTCCAACTATTTCCGACCCCCCCCTCCCCGCCTTCCCATTCCTACCGTAGCAGGGGACTATGTTCTAATTGGTCCCTAGGTCACCTGTCTCAATGCCTATCTTGCTTGGAGGCCTGACCCACATGCAGCCTAGGATACCCGAAAAGCCACTTCTGTCAGCAAACATGCTACCTGTCACACCGGCTCACACCCCCTCCCCGCACCAGATTCAACGAGAGGGTTTGCTCACCTCACCTGGAATGACACTTCTAACAGGCAGGCGGTGAAGGTTCCTAGGATCTGCGGCTAGGGGTGTGGGCTGACCAGCCTACAGCCGGGACTCAACTGATAAGGCAGTTTGAAAGGGGAGAGGCAGCATTAGGGTTGGGGAAATTATAGGGAGAAACTGAGGCCCAGAAAAGTATACTAGAGGGGCTGGGAAATCGTGGCAGCTCCTGCTAGCAGTGACTGTGGGCATAGAAGTGTCGGCAGTGACAGATGGCACACCTGTTTCTTGCAGTCTAGTACAGCCACTGTAATCCCTGAACTCTTGAAATGTGGCTAGTGTAATTGAAAAAAAAAATCAGTTTTTAACTTTGTAAACTTAATCATCCATATAGTCTGACTACAGTGCCGTGCAGCACACCTCTATAGTGAGACAGGCACCAGGGACTTTAGCACAGCTGCAGCCACAACAAGCTACCTAAAGGATAGACAGCGGTAGGAAGACCAGTCTTCCTACCAGCTGTAGGTAGAGTGCTCTTGGCTGGGGTGGTGACTGCAGGGGGGGGGCGGGGGGGGGGGGGGGGGGGGGGGGATGCTCTGTCTCAGGGATGCCTAATGTGTCCCCACAGAACCCTCCTAAGCACTGCCTAATAAACATAAAGGACTCGCAGGGATCTAGCTATATTAAAAAGGTCCTTGCACTTGACCCAAGGGCCCGAGGCCTGACCTCACCTAGCAACTGTCACCCTGTGTCAGTCAAGCCCAAGCAGGTTCAGAGAGGGGGTGTGGAGCCAGAGCCACCCAATCCTGTAGGGACACATTTCACAATTTCCGGGATGGGGCTGTGGTGGGTCACAGCGCAGCCTCCAGCTATGAGTATGAGGTGGTTCCCACTTTTGCTGCTTCTCACACAGTGTTCGAGGGCTCTCGGTGAGTGTCACCTACCCTGACCCCTATTTGCCTTTTCGGGGAGTTCACCCCAGGCCCATATGCCTATTCCTGTCAAGAGTTTACTTTTCTGTTGGTCAGGGATCAGTGAGTGACCTTGGCCTGCTGAGCAGAGCTGAGAAAGCTTGGGAACTCAGAAACACAGTCTGATCAGACCTGCATTAGAAGGCACGCTGTGGTAGCTCTGTGGCAGTCTTCTTGGGACCACAGAGGCACAGACACAGAAGGCATGGCTCCTAAGCCTAACCCTATCACGATAGCTTAACGCCATCCTTTATGCTGGCAAAAGCCCAGACCTGGGAGTCAGAATGTTGAAGATGGAGCTTCCCTTGAATAGTGCCCTCTCTCTGAGTCCATGCATTCTCATTTGAAGGATGAGAGGGGCAAGTGTCAGAGGGCAAACCCCACCACCCAAACCTTCATGGAGTGAATATATTAGACCCGAGCCCCATGGCAGGCCTAACAGACTAGTGATAATCACTGTCTGGGCCTGCCTCCCCAACTCAATGGATGTGGGGGGGATTGGGTTGGCCCTTGAAAAGACACACAAGGCCCACCACACCAAAGACCTTGTATTTGATCCCCTAAATGAACAAAACATAGGGTGTGTTAAGACACATGTACTGACATGCCAGTCATTTTCCTGTGCCCATCCCACAGGGCAGCGCTCACCACTGAATGACTTCCAGCTGCTCCAGAGCACAGAGTTAAAGAACTTCCTACACACAGTGGTGCCAGGACCATGGGAGGAGGATGTGGCAGATGCTGAGGAGTGTGCAAGGCGTTGTGGTCCCCTTCTGGACTGTCGGTGAGTGGCTAAGTAGCCTAGGTATGGATGAGGGTATGAGAATCTGGACTGTCAGTTAACCTTGTATCTGCTTCCCAGAGCCTTCCACTACAACTCGAGTAGCCACGGTTGCCAGTTGCTGCCATGGACTCAACACTCACCCCACACACAGCTACACCATTCAAGTCTGTGTGATCTTTTCCAGAAGAAAGGCAAGTGAGGGTGAGGAAAAATAGGGTGAGCAACAAAGGGTGTGAATCCTCAGTTCCTGCTGACCTTTCCCCTCTCGCTTCCAGACTATGTACGAGCCTGCATTATGGACAATGGGGTCAGCTACCGGGGCACCGTGGCCAGGACAGCAGGTGGCCTGCCCTGCCAAGCCTGGAGCCGCAGATTCCCCAATGACCACAAGTGAGACAAAACATTGCCGCTAGGCCTGAAGCAGAATTCCCCCAGCATGCAATGTAGTGAGGGTCTCTGCCTGCAGGTATACGCCCACACCAAAGAATGGCCTGGAAGAGAACTTCTGTCGGAATCCTGATAGGGACTCCAGAGGCCCCTGGTGCTACACAACAAACCCTAGCGTGCGGTTCCAGAGCTGTGGCATCAAGTCCTGCAGAGAGGGTTAGCAGCTGGGGTCAAGACTAGGCAGGGAGGGAGGGACAGGCCTGCTCCCGCCCAGAAACACACTGGCCCCATGTTTCCAGCTGTTTGTGTCCGGTGCAACGGTGAGGATTACCGTGGCGAGGTAGACGTTACAGAGTCGGGACGCGAGTGTCAACGCTGGGACCTGCAGCACCCTCACTCTCACCCTTTTCAGCCCGACAAGTATGTAGGCAGAATCCTTATGCCGAGGGTGGGGCTCAACCCTACCGGGGAGGGGCCTGAGTCCCAGAGTCTTATTACTACCCCCAGGTTCCTCGACAAAGCTCTGAATGACAACTATTGCCGTAATCCAGATGGATCTGAGAGGCCCTGGTGCTACACCACAGACCCAAATATCGAACGGGAATTCTGCGATCTTCCCAGTTGTGGTAGGCTGCAGGGACAGGGCCTAGGAAGGAATTTGGCAAAGACTGGCAGGCACGGCTCAACTGGGAGAGGTACTAGAGAAGCTGGGCATGCGTAGAGAGCAAAGCCTGCCGAGTGAGTACCAGACACCCTCGACAGGCAAGCGCAGCTCCAATTTCAGCTTTCTGGCAGGGCCCAACCTGCCACTGATCACCAAAGGATCCAAGTCACACCAGCGCAACAAGGGCAAGATTTTGAATTGCTTCCACGGAAAAGGCGAAGACTATCGAGGTACAACCAACACCACCTCTGCGGGTGTGCCCTGCCAGCGATGGGATGCACAGAGCCCACACCAGCACCGCTTTGTGCCGGAGAAATACTCTTGCAAGTGAGGTGACAGGCCTGTGGGTGGGGGTGGAGCCTATGGGAAGGTGCGACCCAGGGGCGGAGTCAACCGGTCCAGCCTGCTGCGGGCTGGTTGGCGGGCTTGGTGGGACTCCATCCACCATAAGGAAAGTGCCTGCTCAGGGACCTTAGGGAGAATTTCTGCCGGAATCCTGACGGCTCCGAGGCGCCTTGGTGCTTCACATCGCGACCAGGTTTGCGAGTGGCCTTTTGCTACCAGATCCCACGCTGTACAGAGGAAGTGGTGCCCGAAGGTGAGGCTGGAGCAGGAGGTAGAGGAGGGCAGGAATCAGGAACCGATCTGGGGCTGATGGCTGCCCTTGCCCCATCCACTGCAGGGTGCTACCACGGCTCAGGTGAACAGTATCGAGGCTTGGTCAGCAAGACCCGCAAGGGTGTTCAGTGCCAGCACTGGTCCGCGGTGACACCACACAAGCCACAGTGAGTGTGTGCCCACAACCCAGATTGGATTCATTTCTAGGGCCAAATGCCTTGGCTTCTTCTATGTGAGCCTGAAGAGGATCTGACTGGCCCGCTATGGGCCACCCCCTAGATTCACACCCACCTCAGCACCACAGGCGGGACTGGAGGCAAACTTCTGCAGGAACCCAGATGGGGATAGCCATGGGCCCTGGTGTTACACTTCAGATCCAGCCACCCTGTTTGACTACTGTGCCCTACAACGCTGTGGTGAGTGCTGAAGACTCTTCCCCTTGGCTGGGCTTCAGATGTCACCTCCAAAGGCTGGTACCCTTAACCTGAATGAACTTGGTCTTACAGATGATGACCAGCCACCATCCATCCTGGACCCCCCAGGTACAGGCTTGGGTCAGTTGCCGGTACAGCTTCTTTGACCCTGGCCCTCACTGAAGATTTCATCCTGCCCAATCCTCCAGACCAGGTGCAGTTTGAAAAGTGTGGCAAGAGGGTTGACAAGAGAAACAAACTTCGTGTGGTGGGGGGCCATCCTGGGAGCTCACCATGGACAGTCAGCTTGCGCAACCGGTGAGACCTGAGTGCTTACCTCAAGAAAGGAGCTGAGGCTGTAAACTCTGCAGAGGATGGAGACCTGACCATGTCCCAGGACTCATTGCTGCTTCTCCTAATCTACTCTAGACAGGGCCAGCATTTCTGTGGAGGGTCCCTAGTGAAGGAACAGTGGGTACTGACTGCCCGGCAATGTGTCTGGTCATGGTGAGACTCCCTTGGGTTTAGGGACCGGGTTTCCTAGCTTACCTTCATCCACCTGTCCCTGCCATTGTCCCCACCACCAAAGCCACTTTCCCTGGGAAAGCGAACAAGCAAAACAAACTGAGGCAGCTGAGTAGGAGTCGAGAATGGTTTAGCAGAGTCTCTTTCTCCCAGCCATGAACCTCTCACAGGATATGAGGTATGGTTGGGTACAATCAACCAGAACCCACAGCCTGGAGAGGCAAACCTGCAAAGGGTCTCAGTGGCCAAGGCAGTGTGCGGACCTGCAGGCTCCCAGCTTGTTCTGCTCAAGCTGGAGAGGTATGTGGACACGTTGAGAGGGTGTGAGCTGGGGCTGGCCCTGTGGTCATAGATTCTGAATACCCATTCCTGCTAAAGACCTGTGATCTTGAACCATCACGTGGCCCGGATTTGCCTGCCTCCTGAGCAGTATGTGGTACCTCCAGGGACCAAGTGTGAGATTGCAGGCTGGGGTGAATCCACAGGTAAGAGCATGGTGCATAGACATAGATTGTTCCAGGCCGGGCCACCCAGCACTGGTGTTAGCTCAGGGGTCCTCTCCTTCTCCTCACTCCAGGTACAAGCAATAACACAGTCCTGCATGTGGCCTCGATGAAGGTCATCTCCAACCAGGAGTGTAATGTAAAGCACCGAGGTCATGTACAAGAGAGTGAGATGTGCACCGAGGGACTGCTGGTCCCCACAGGGGCTTGTGAGGTCAGCAGTGGAGCCCCTGGGCCAGTCAGGGAAGGACTTGGGAGCTGGAATTATACTATTTGTTTACCAAGGGGGTGAGGATATGGGGGAGGTTAGTCACTGCCAAGGTCCAGAGCCTTTACCAGTCCTCCCACCTGCCAGGGTGACTACGGGGGACCACTTGCCTGCTACACCCATGACTGCTGGGTCCTAGAGGGACTTATAATCCCCAACAGAGTATGTGCACGGCCCCACTGGCCAGCTGTCTTCACACGCGTGTCTGTGTTTGTGGACTGGATTAACAAGGTCATGCAGCTGGAGTAGGGATGTCAAGGCTTCTCAAACATAAAGCAACCTTTCTTTCTATACAAAGTGCTTCTTAGTCTCTGCTTCTAGGGACTGAGGTGGTGACTCCTTACAGGAGGCGTGGTGCTTTAAGACCAGTACACACTTGGCCAGGTGTTCTGATCCTGGAACAACTTCAAAATGTATGTACTGTGGATGGGTAAGGTGTCAATCATCTTCCAGGGGCACTTCTGGGAATGCAAGGATAATGCAGAACATTCTCCAACAGATGGGCTAGAGCAGAAAGAGCTATGTTGGTCTGCACCAGTCCCAGTCGGCCAGGACAGTTGGGGTAGAGTTGCTCATGGCTCCTCTCTGTCAGATGACAGAGATGAATCCACTGTGAATATCAAACCCAAGGCCAAGGGTTTCTGAACTCCAGGATGGGGTCTGGGGTTGAGGATGGCTTGGTACAAAGTACCAGCACAAACCAGGCTCTGTGTCCTCATTTATTATGAGTGCATAGTCCATGTCCCTCTGCCCACTCATCCAGAGTCCAGAGCCCAGGAAGTCTCTAGGCTATTCTGCCAGATCCTGGCGCTTACCAAGAGCAAAGTGCAAGACAGACTGACCAGTTCACGCAGAATGTTAGGGCTTCAGCTGCCCAAGTGTGTGCGCAGCCAAAGCACAGTATTCATGAAGCTGTCTGACTCCACCTCCACCTCTGATAGTGCGTGGGTGCTTTTGGGATAGAGCAGGAGCCTGTGTGAGCAGCAACACATGAGGTTGGTGGTTCTTGTCCTGCTTACCTGCCACAGCTACCAGGACTATCCTCTGACACTCACCGAACAGGCACATTCCGGGCCTTGAGGGCACGGTAATACTCCATACCCTGCCTGAATGGTACACGCCGGTCCTCCTGGCCCAGCATCAGTAACACAGGTGTCTTCACCTAGGTGTATGGGGAGCAAGTTGCTGTGGTGAGCTGAGCTCTGGATTCTGGATGGATGGGTAGCATACACACAAGGATACCTGGGTACCTGAGGGATATACTTGATGGGTGATTTATCTAGCATCTCCTCCCACAAATTCAGGTCTGGCAGGCAGTCATTGCTATAACGGAAGCCAGCCTCCACCACACACCTATAAAAGACCAAGATGATGCTTTCCATGGGAATTTGGGGTAGAAGGAAAGACAAAGGACCTGTGATGCACACTCACCAATCAGGGATGTCAGTGGAGCCCATCATGGAAGCAATATTGATTACAGGGTTCCGAGCTATACAGGCACTGTATGTCTCTGGGTACTGACCAATCAGGTGGCAGGAGAGGAACCCTCCATGGGAACCACCCATCAGGGCCACACGGTGTGCATCAAAGCCTTCCTCCTGGAGTACCTGCTCCACTGCAAACTAAAGGGTAAGAAGAGTGTGCTGCAGCTAGCTTCCTGTCAGCTGAACAGAGCCTCGAACCCACCTCCCTGTCCAGGACACTGTCCAGCACCCTGCTACCTGGACATCCTTCACATCCTGCTGGCCCACATTGCCTGGGAGAGAAAGGATGTTGTCTTGGCCAAAGCCAGTGGAGCCACGATAGTTCACTAAAAGGAGGAGACAAGATAGTATTCTCAGCCCTCTGGACCTCAGTTCCTAGGACCAGCAGCATCGCAGGCTGTCAGGGGACCTAGTCAAGAGCTATGAAGTTGCTACCCTTTCTTACCTAGCAACACTGCAAAGCCCATCTTGCAAAGCATGGCTGGGAACAGCATCCAGGCAGTGACAAAGGATGAATGGGGTCCCCCTGTGACAGGAAGAAGAGGGTGAACAGGCCAGCTAGCAGCTTCATAGGAAAGCAAGCACTCTTAGGTAGACACCTACCGTGGGGCATGACTACCATGGGCACCTGGGTCTTATCTGGAGGGTTGCTGGGCTGTAGAAGGATTGCTTCAAAGTCAAGGTCAGCTGTAGGGAGAAGGCAGTAATCAGCAAGACCAGTGCTCCTTCACAAGTGCTCCCAGCCAAGGCCCCATCTGTAGCTATGGCGTGAGTCTGATCAAGACAAACAGGCCTGGCCATGGTAGCTCACACCATGACACATGGACCCCGAAGGCTTGTGCTCTTTTTGCCTAGTCAGAGAGCCTAATGTCTGAAAAGAGCACATTCTGATATAGTCACATAAGCCTGTGTGTGGCCTATTTTCTCTGGGCCTTAGTTTTCTCACCACAGAGGACATGCCCTGGCAGGGCCTGGTGCTGATAACCACAGCAGGTACTCGGATTTCTGGATGCTACTCCCCATGACCATAAGAACAGAAAAAATTTTTGAGGAAATCCTAGAAAGCCTGAAATGTGAGCTTGGAAGGGTCATCACACACGCTGTGTGCTGGGGACCTGGAGAAGGCCTCCGTGTGCTGTCGGCCCAGCTCACCATATTGCACATTCTCTTGGTCTGGAGGTGGATGCAGCACACGGACGCCCCAGAGGATGTCAGGAATGGGTTCAGCCTCCTCCAGGGACACCCACGACACGGACTGTTCCTTCCCAGCAGGAGGCAGGAACCCAACTTTCTGCCAAGGGGAAGCAAAGTGTCACAGGTGGCCAGTGCTCAGGAACTCATCTCTAAAGGGCACAGCATAGATTCTTATGAGTGGTATATGACAATATACATCCACATATGAACCACTGCCTACCACTACCACATTTCTTGGCTTCTGGGTTCTTCTGTCTCCCTGTACTCTAATACTGTAGGACTTGGCACGTTGTTCAGGACAGCACAAATGCTAGTCCCTACTTACAAGTGTCAGCCATGGTAAACCATAGGACTAGGGTGGATCCAAGTCTCCGCCCTTCTACATGTTGACCAGCCATGGCCAGCTGTTGGCCTGGAAGCTTGTAACTCCTGCCTTCTAGCCTGGAACTCACCAATACTCACCAGGCTCGGGGGCAGGTTGGGTGTGGAGAACTGGGCCACCATAAGGTCTTGATCAATTGTAAGCAACTTCCAGCTTCCACCTGAACCCCCTAGAGGAAGCAGATGGTAGTGTTTGGTGGGGGGTCACCACTTTTGTACCTTCAACCCTCAGAGGCACCCCTTAAGAACACCTAACTGTATAGCCCTGGGTAAGCCTCCTGGTTCAGTCCCTTGTTTATCTGACAGACACTGGCTTGTGCTCAGGAACTGCCAGGCCTGGGGACACAGAAATCTACCAAGATACTCTACTTACTCCAATGACCAGTGTAAAAAGGATGGCAGCCTAGCCCAAAAAACAGGGTCAGGGAAAGGGGACTGGACAGTGGGGTCTAAGGTTTATTTATTCACTTATTTACTTATGTGCATTAAGCCTTATGTATGGTAGACAAACACGCTAGCAATGAGCTATGTCCCAACCCAGAGATACAGAATTAGAACAAAACTCTGGCATCTATGGAGCTTTGAATGAAAATGGTCCCCATAGGTTTACACGGAGTAGCACTATTAAGAGGTGTGGCCTTGTTGGAGGAAGTGTGTCACTGGGGGTGGGCTTTCAGGTTTCAGAAGCTCAAGCCAGGCCCAATGTTTCTCTTCCTGCTGCCTGCCAGTCCAGATGTAGAACTCTGGGCTCGTTCTCTGGCACCATGTCTGCCTGAGTGCTGCCTTGCTTCCCACCAGGACAATAATGGACTAAACCTCTGAAACTGTAAGTCAGCTCCAATTAAATGTTTTCTTATTATGAGTTGCCATGGTCATGGTGTCTGTTCACAGCAATGGAAACCCTAACTAAGACAGCATCTCTCTGGAGGAGTACGTAGAGACAGGGCAGGTGGACAACTCAAAGGCTGTTCCAGGGGAAGACAATAGGCTCAAGTGTGGGAAAGCTAGGGAATCAATCCAACAATGGTTTCTCCAAGGCTTGGGCGGGAGGTAGATGACTGACAGCTTAGCAAGAAAGGCCTGCAGATTTTGGGGTAGGGGTGGGGCTGTAGAGCCAGTGCAAAGGGGCACTGGAACAAAGGAGGTAGTGCGCTGCCCAGATCCCAAAGGCCGTGGAGCAGTTCGTGTTAAGAATGACTTGAGACACACTTCCTATGTCAAGCAGCTCCACTCCCAAACCGGCTGCCCTTCCACCACCCCGACATCACCCCTAATGCAGAAGTCCTGCTCACCCGCTGTCAGGGAGGTGACACTTCCAGTCTGGGTGTCCACAGCAAACAGGTCCTTAAACAGAGGGGAGACCACACGTAGCACCATATCCAACAGCCCTATGGGCCCTATCCCTATTTTCTTTCTACCATCCTAGCAATACTTTGGCCTGTGGTGATGGCTACTCTCTGCACCAGGGAGTAGCCTGGATCCAGACTCAAATCTCAGTTCCTTCACAGCTTACTGGATATTCCCCGACAAGGGGCAGGAATGCCACTGAGCCCCAGTTGAGGATGTGAGAACAATGACATCATACCCACGGGACCATGGCACACTATGGGTACCTTCACTGATCCTTCAAGAAGAATTCATCCAGTCTCCACCAACTGGCCTTACAATGTTTAGGGATCCATCTCAGAGTCAGCCCCAGGCTTTCCACCTGGAGAAAGGCCTGGGGCCCTGCTGTGGGGCACTATGACATATGGTGCCCTCAAGGAAAAGCAAGTCCAGCAGAAGGCTGAAAAGGCTTGCAGGGGTCAGTAAGACTTTGGGGCTAGGCATTCCTTCGGGCGCATATACACACTCTTACCCCGAGTCCTAGATTCCTTGACAGACAATCATAGGGCAAATGTTGACATTACCTCTCAACATAATCAGGGGCTCTTACCTGCTGGCTGCGCTGCGCTGAGTCAAAGACCACTCTCCGGCTGTCAGCTGACCAGCATCCCAAAGGCAGAAGACTGCAGTAGATCCCAGAGAAGTTCTCTGCAAAGACAGAAAGGCTTGGGCTGCATCTAAGAGTGGAGGTTTGGGGGAATTTACCCAGGACCCTGAAATGTGTATTAGAATGACAGTCCATACACTAGGGTACTCTTACCCTAGTAATGAGGAGGTGACTGAGTAGGAGGTGGTAGGGGAAGGGGGGAGAGACTTCTGAAGACCTGAAGAGGTAGAGCCGACGAGCCTCTGAGGCAAACATGGATGCTTTCCAATGAGCTGTTCCCTTCTGAGTTCTGGCAACATTAAGTGCCTTAACATTAAGATAACACGTTTGTCACTGCAGTGCTGAGTACAGCACCCAGCATAGGACCTCAGTAAGACCTGCCCTACACTACAATCCTGTCAGTAAGACCTGCCCTACACTACAATCCTGTCAGTAAGACCTGCTCTTCACTACAATCCTGTCAGTAAGACCTGC